ACGATAACAGGTAAAATAATTAAAAGGTGAGATGAAAGTCATCATACAAAACAGATAGTCAAAATGAGCCATGAATGTGTTGTCTGCACCTCTTAGTTAAGATCTGAAATCCATTTCCATGTTTAATGGGAATATGTGTCATCAACGTGTATATATGATGTATATTTTGTTTCTATCTACTTCTCTATTTTTAGTTTTTTCAAGTCCCAACATTACCAAGTAATTATATATATTCTAATGCAACTCGTTGACATCTTTTTACTTATAACATACATTGAACCTAGAATACATGAGAATTGAGATGAAGAAAAAATGGACTAAGAAATTGAAATCGTATCCTTTGCCTATCTACTTTAGTCGTCTTCACCCACATGGTCAGCCTAATTATTATAATTACAATTATTAGCCGTCATATAATACGATATTTTTGTCCAATTATTTTTTAATTAAGTTGATGCAACTACTTCCTCTTTTAGAACGCTAAGATCCAACATAGTTTTTTTTTTTTTAATTATAAGTACTTAGATGAATCAGTTTGCTCACAAATTTCAAGAACTCAATGAACTTGATTTTTTGCTTCTCGTAATTGTTTAAGATAAGTTTGACCAAACTAGCAATTAAGAGATTATAAGTTCAAGTTTCATCAAATACGAATATATTTACATTATTTTGTTATATTTACTTAGTTCATCATGTAAGTAAATCACATAGATATAATAGCTGATTGTTTTGACAGAAATAAATGAAAAAGAAAGATCTAAAAACACCTATTGAATTTTGCTTAAGCTGTTATATACATCTAAGAAATTATAAACTTCAGAGTATCAAACAGAAGTGACATACGTATATAACAATATTAAGGGTGACAAAATCAAAACCAATTCATTCAATTCGTCCAACCCGTTTAAGTTTGGACGGGTTATTGATCAGCTCATTCATTAACTCAATTCTTTTCAACTCATTAAAAAATGGGTTGATATGTAACCCGAATTGGCTCATGAGAAATACTGTCAAAAAAAAATTTAAAACTTTTTTTTCAATATGATATGTTATATAGTCGTAATAAAAAAATAAAATTTTATTAGGTACTAAAATAGTTTAAAAGAACAAATAAAACAATTAAGTTTAGTAAATACTGGATTGGGTTGGATCTTGATCCGTTATATAACCTACTACCAGAGTTGAATCTTGACCCAATTAATTATTATTGTCTTAACCCATTACGAATCGTTCAAACTTAACTCAACCCACCCAATTATCACCCCAGAAGAATACATCCTTCAAAATTCTTACATATGCGAGCAATATTGATAGAAGTGCGTTTTTCAACGTTAACTTTAAATGCATATAGTATAGAGTATTTTATAGGACTATAAAGGGATACTTGAAAATTATTGGAATTAATAATGGGGTTTGGTGACAAAAGAGGAGGTCATAAAAGTGCCACCTCTGAAAGTATTATCCTCTCAATTTGACACCAATCTTGGCTGAAGTTAGTCCACCTATACATGCTCTCTTGTATGTTCAATTTGAAATTAATGGATAAATTGTTATTCTTCAAGTGAAACTTTTGTTTTTTTGGTCACAACTGCGCCTAAGATTAAAGTTACGTTAAGTGGCAATAAATAAATATGGTTGGTATGGAAAAAGAAATAAGATTCATTATTGTTATTCTTCAAAAACAGAAAGTGAAAAAACAAAAAAACAAAGTTTGTAAATTGTATGTAACGGACTATTTCGCCTCAAAACGCTTGAAAGTCATCAAAAGTGTTGAATTGTTAATGGACTTGTAGCCCAACGGCATTCCATTTGGGCTGAGAGATATCATTTTTATGATGGGTATACCCCCACAAAGGAAAAAGAGGTAAATGGTGATTTATAAGAACGATTTTGAAAATAGTTGATCTTGAATTTTGTTATCACGTTTATTCACAAGAAAAACTTCAAGTCTAAAAAGTTTTGCCTCTTGGACAACATTATCGACTTTTGACTTTAAAAATTTGTCAAGAAAATAAACGAGGGTTAAAAATTCAAGACCAGCAATTTTCAAGATCATTGGACATTATTTCTTGAGGACTTACCTTCATAAGATGTTTATTACTAAAAATTATACTAATTTCATGACTAAGTCTAGAGCAGTCAAAATGGACTTGATCCTTGATGCCGGCCTAACCCTGCCCGTAGGGGTTGGTTTGGCTTAAGATTTTTTAAGCTCATTTTAGAAGTTGGGAAAATTATGTAGAATAGCAAACATTTAACATATATTAGGTATTATAGTTATAGTTTAAGAAAATTGTAATTCGCGGCTACAGTTTCTCCAATTCTTGTTATTTGCTTGATTAGTATAATTCGCCTGATTCGTATAAATCCAGAATTTGTATTCGGTTCTTGATTGTATAAATTAAGAATTTTGTATATGCTTACCCCTATCTATTTGTATACGATTTATGAAAAAATCATAATGAATTACCCTGTTTGTTTATTGGCAAGCGAAATATACAAACGGAGTTCTAAAAAATTCTTAAATGTATAAATACATAATTTGTACATATACCTACCCTATTTGTATATTCGCAACCCAAATATACAAACTGACAGAAATATACAAACATCAGCTTCCATAGCAAACAAAACTATGACTATGAACTATAGCTATAGAGCCTTATTATGTCTTATTATGTTTGTTATTTCTAAAATTTTCTCTTAGAAGTTAGGCTCTTAATCTTAGCCCCATTGGGCTCATCGGCTTCAAAGATTGGGCCGAAGCTGACCCCTGAGGCCCAAGAGAAAGGCAAGTTAGGAAAAATAATCTAAAAATACAACTTATTTTACCATATATTCTAAAATTCTCTATCATTTGAAAAAAATACAAAAATATCAATTCTTTTCTATTCTCGGATACATCACTTTACGAGATGTATCGAGACGTTGAATGATGTATCTGAAATCGAGACTGATGTATTGAGACGTTGAGTGATGTATCTGAAATCAGGACACGATGTATCGAAACGTTTTGGGATGTATCCAAATTCCACTAAATTTAAGGGTTTGAAAAGAGTAAGGATATGATGTAATTAGCTCTTAACACTATGAGATTCGTGTAAAATTTCCAAGTAAATGTTAAAGTACAATAATTTACATTTATCACAAGTGAATTCATGTGTTTGATGGTGGTGATTGGTGAATATGTTGCGATTGCTTGAAGTAAAGTTAAGCTAGATTAATGATTTTTTGTAACTTTACCTTATTTTGGCAAATGGTTAAAGTTTTTATTTTGTTTTGTATAGGCCCGTCCTAATTCTGACCCACCTGGGGTGGGTTAGGCTGGTCTAGCATTTTATAGGCCCAAATGGCAAGCACATTGAAATATATTCAATCAAATGAGTTAGGTAACTTCACACAAAATTGTATTCACATCTTAATAGGAGTAGAAATTTTAAAATTCAAGTGTTTTTAAATTTAAATATATATCTTAATATTTAAATGTGTATTTAAATTTAATTATCTAAATAAATTTTAATGCAATTCAAAACTTAATGTTAAAATACTGCATAGGTTAATAGATATATGGTATGTTATTTGTGATTGGAGGAAAATAAATTTTTAAAAATATTTTTTCTATGTAAATAAAGTCTTATGTTAAAGGTTGGTAAAAATATACCGACCAAAATATGCTACCAGCAAGCGTTAGTAATTATAAACACGAACATAATGAAATCTTCCAAAGTCTAGAGAACTAGTATGAAGGAATTGTAATAAAGAAAAACACAACTTCCCTTAAATCTTAAATGTGTTGGAAACTCAGTAACAAAAAAAACTACTCATATTGGTCCAATGGCGAAAAAAGAACACACTAAAGCTTTGCTAATTGCCTCCTTAAATTGAAAATTCATATACTTTAAATTTTAAACCATCTAAACACATTACGTACGCATAAAAAAACTTCTAGCCCCGATAGGAATAACAACCAGATATATAAGAAGAACCATATATACTAGTAACAATTAATTAAGGACATTAGAACATGCAAATGCACTTTTTTTTGCAAGTTTGTTTAAGCCATACAAAACCAGTAGCATTAATTTTATGAAAATGAAGACAATGAACCAAGTCATCCTGTGATAATAACAATTAATTTCTACTATAACTATAACATTTATTTATTTATTTTTACCTTTTCCTTTCCAGGGAAAGATACTCTAACAAGTAAAGAGACACAGCCTCATAATTCACACCACTGCCAAGTAAAACAATATATGAATCTATTTAAAGAAGATAGCATAATACACAAAATATGTATATATAGGGAAAAATATAGAAAAGACAAATACTTCCTATCATTCTTATTTGTTCCTACATAAATTTTGAGAAACATTTTAAGTTGCCAACACGTTTTATCTTTCAATTCCCCCACAAATTACAAAATGGAATCCACAAGTACAAATAGTATGTTCTTCATTAATCCTAGCAAAAGGACAAATCCATCAGTTTAGAGAAAAATCAAAATAAAATATTAGTGAATTTGTTTAATTTGCGCACGAAAAAGATAGACCATATATCTATAAACAAGCTGGTTATAGACTCTGTAACGCTATGGACGTTCATATATAGATCCACCAAATATTGCACAATGTTCATTTATTATCATGCTTAATTATTAGCCAAATGCAAAGTCTGGGACAGACATACATGAAAAGGAAGAAAGAAAAATATAAGAATGGACTATAATCAATACTAATTAATTATTCAAATTTTCATTTTCAGCCGGTCCGGTACCTGACTTACAATTCAAATTCCATGAATTTTTATTCTTATTTTTCAGGAATTGAACCTAAGCCAGAGACCTCGGAGAAATTTTATTCATCTGACCACACCACAACCCATTAATGATGCAATTATAAATTAGAGGAACAAACCCTAGATGGTAATGCATGACGAATTACCTGCACTTATATATATATATATTAGGTTAGAGAAAGTGAAAGAGAAAGAGAAACTGAGATATTGGCACGGCTCAATCAAACGGAAAACAGAAACTCCACCATTTAAATATAGTTTCATTTTGTTGTCTGAGTGAACCAGGCCAATATCAAAGTTACTGTTTCATAGAGTAAAAATAATAATAAGTGAAAACTGAGAATTCATATAGTCGATCCCAATTTATTTGAACGGAGGGAAAAAAACTCAAAACCTAAAAGAGGGAGAAAAGATTGAATATTTTGAGTAGAAGGATGGGAATGTCTTGGGGTAAATTTAAGGAGGAAGGAGAGAAGAGGTGGTGTGTGTAGAGTGCATTTAAAACCGTGACTACCAAAGCACAAGGACAGGGCCACTGCATTTAACTCCATTAATATTCTTTCCCCATCTCCTTCAACTGTACATAAACGATTATTACATGTACTTATATTATTAATTTAATCGAGATACACAAAAATTGAATCATATACATATTATATGTAATTATTTAAATTATAGATTTTGAAAGTTTTATAATCAAATAATATGGTATTTTTAGGACTACACAAACTCCAAATGACTTTTTAAAATAAATAAATTGTATCACGTAAATTAAAACAGAGAAAATAACTATTCACTTTTTAGTAAAGTGGAAACTAATTGGGGTATAAAGTTGAACAGTCAAAGTAAAATTATTATTTGAAATCTTTAAGATTATTTGTCTTTGATTCTCACTTATATATGATGCGATTATACTTGAAACTTTGCTTATCAACCCCCTCTTCCTAGTTACTCCCTCCATCTCAACTCCAACTTATTTATCGTGATATATTTTTTAAGAATATATAGTTATTTCACATTATTCATTCCATTTTATTTTATTTAGTACTTATATTAAAATAGATTTTTTTTACTTGTTCGTCTTAACAAATTAAGAGAAATTTATTATTTTTATCTTATTATTAAATAACTATATAAATACTTTTTTAAGCAATGTCACAAATCAACATGGGCCAGAAAACTTGAAACAGAGGGAGTATTTCTCATTATAAAGTTTAAAGCAAAACCAATAAGTACTTATTTCACATTGGAAATTACTGCTGTGTGCTAGCTGCATGCATAATATATACGTTAAACTAAATTGAAGTCCTTGTAGTCTAGAGAATCGATATGGTTCAAGTTTAACGGACCCCTACACATATTCTAGCTAGAGATCGATTGACTATCTTAGAAATTAATATAAGCAAAAGAATGGTACAAAGGGCATGAGGTGTTTAAAAGACATAGAATGGTACAAAGGGGTAAAATTGTTACTCAAGAGTGGGTGACATAACACAAAAAGGACATCGATAAAGGTGTTTCATTCTTAATGAGAAGTTCTATTTAACATGAATTTAATTTAATTGAGCTCTAATACGAATGTAGACGGGAGAAAAGATACATTAAAAAGAAAAAAAACTTCAAAAACAATTAAGGAAAAATTAGCAATTAAGTCATAATACCTAAAATATTTAGTTAAAATAACAACACTTTAAAATATTTTATTTAAAAATGTCAAAAATGACAATATTTTAGAAAATAATATGTATTCAGTATTTTAGTATTTAAAATTAATTTTATTATGAAAACAGTTCTATATGGGACCAAATTCTAAACCAATTAGTTACCAATACCAATTAACCTTCCTTCTTCACCTTTCACTTTTCTACCCCACCTTTCACGTTTCTATCCCTTTTTCACGTTTCCAGATTCTTTCTTCAAGGTGCTCACAAATTGTTCATCAAAATATATATTTTAATTCAAGAAATTTTCTCTAAAAGCTAAAATATTGTTGTTTTGAAAATTTTCCCTTTGAAAAAAGCCCAAATTTATGCCGCCATCCAGATCTATAAAAGCCTTACATCGTCCCTTACCTTCTTCCATCGCCGGCTTTGCTGGTACCTAACTCTTCCATTTTTTTCCGATTGTTCTAAGTTAATTTGTTGAGTTGTGTTTGCTTAGTTATGTATATTTTGTTCTTGGAGTCGAGTTTTATCGAAATAGTCCATTGGAGTAAGGTCTGCGGACTATTACCTGATGATTCACTTTAGAATTTGGGGCGGATTTGATTTGATAGCCGCATAACTGTCACGACCCAAAAATGGACGTGATGGCACTCGTCTTAACCCACCAAGACAAGTCAGCCTAAAACTCAACCATTACAATAAAATGCGGAAATTTTTATAATAAACTCAAAAATACCCCCAAAATCTGGTTGTCACGTGTACAAGCCTCTAAAGTATTACAATTGAACCAAAAGAAAAATACAAGTCTCATATGACATTGTTTCTAGAGTAGAACAAGATCATAATCAGGAGTAAGAAGGATCGCTGAGAAGACAAACAACTACCTCACAAATCTCCAGAAGCCTCGGAAAAGAAGAGAATGACAAGTACCACAAAAATCCAGGCTCGTAACCTACAAAAATTTGTAGAAGCAAGGGGTGAGTACCAAACCACACGGTACTCAGCAAGTAAACCTCTAAACACGAGCTAAGGGGATAGAATACAAGTACTCCTTACACCCCAACCGAACCTTCACAACTACAATACGTATAAAACTAGCCCAACCTAACAGTTCACAATTTACAAGCACATATCTCAACAACAACATTCTAGCAATCATATATTCTCAACAACAAGCTCAATATTCATCAATTACCACCTCCACAACTACAACCTGCTTAGTACCAGCCCAACATAACAGTTCACAGTTTATAAAGCACATAGCTCAACACAACACTCTAACAATTGCATATTCTCAACAACAACAATAGTTTCATATCCTGAACAACAACACTCTAACAAATGCATATCTTCAACAACAAGCTCAATATTCATCAGTCACAAGTTCCATAGAAAGGCACTCACAAGATCAGCAACACACAAGATCAAGTTCACCAATAATAAAGAAGTGCAATGCAATGAAATGCAATGTCAAGTATAGTGATGCATGTCTGACCTAATGATACACACCCGCTGTCTCTCAGTCCGGGACCCATGGGGGACATATCTGTCCATGCATCCATCGCAGCGCGCGATACGACCCTCGATAATAGTAACCATCACGGCGCGCGATACGTCCCTCGAAATATAGTATCCGTCGCGGCGCGCGACACGTCCCTCGAAATATAGTATCCATCGCGGCGCGCGACACGTCCCTCGAAATATAGTATCCATCGCGGCGCGCGACACGTCCCTCGAAATATAGTATCCATCGCGGCGCGCGACACGTCCCTCGAAATATAGTATCCATCGCGGCGCGCGACACGTCCCTCGAAATATAGTATCCATCGCGGCGCGCGACACGTCCCTCGAAATATAGTATCCATCGCGGCGCGCGACACGTCCCTCGAAATATAGTATCCATCGCGGCGCGCGACACGTCCCTCGAAATATAGTATCCATCGCGGCGCGCGACACGTCCCTCGAAATATAGTATCCATCGCGGCGCGCGACACGTCCCTCGAAATATAGTATCCATCGCGGCGCGCGACACGTCCCTCGAAATATAGTATCCATCGCGGCGCGCGACACGTCCCTCGAAATATAGTATCCATCGCGGCGCGCGACACGTCCCTCGAAATATAGTATCCATCGCGGCGCGCGATACGTCCCTCGAAATATAGTATCCGTCGCGG